GCTGGAGCATTAGAGGGATGGGGCAGGTCAAAGGACACTGCCAGGGATGGTGGACCTGTGTGAGCTGGCAAACTCCAGGCTTTGTGGTCTATGATTTCTGGAGTACTCGGTGGCAGGGGTTGACTTTCAGCTTAGCCATGTAGACTCATCTCTAGCCCTGTGGGGAAGAGATTCTTCTATTGTTTCAACTTGGACCTGACCTTTCCTTCTAATAGCTGTGGCTGCCTGGCATGAGATGATTCTATCACTATTCTAGGCAATGTAGGAAAGACTGAATTTTGAGTATGAAAGATCTGAAGATGTCAGTGTTTAATACTGGCATACCTTGGAGATATTGCAGGTTTGCTTCCAGACCACCGCAATAAAGTGAGTTGTAATTTTTTTGCTAGTGGAGGCTCTTGCCTTCAATTGGAAAAATAAAAAAGCAGTGTCTGTGAAGTGTAGTAAAACAATAGTGTGGTATCTTGGTTATGTATTGCTGCATAACATACTACCCCAAAACTTACTGTCTTAAAATAACAACATTGAAAACAGCAACATTTAATTATATTTCATAATTTTGTGGGTCAGGAATTTGGGCAGTGCTTGGCTGGGTGATTCTTCTGCTTCACATGGCATTGACTGGGTACTCTTCAATTGGTGGCTGGTATGGTCTGAAGGTCCACGATGATTTCACCCACATGCTTGATGTCTTGACAGAAATGGCTTTGGGCCCCTTTCCCTCTCCATGTGGTCTTAAGGCATCTCTCCACATGCTCTCTTTTGGAGGACAGTTAGATTTTTGCATAGCGCCTTGTTTAGGACTCAAGAGAACAAGGAGGAAGCTGCCAGTTCTCTTAAAGATTGGACTTGGAATTGGCATGGCACCAATTATGCCATAGTCCATTAGTCAAAGCAGTCACAGAACAGTCCAGAATCAAGGAGGATGGAAACAGATCCCACCTCCCAAGGAGAGGAGTGTCAGAGAATGTGCGGCCATCTCTGATCTACCACATGGGGGTTACATAAATAGTTGGTGTGGGAGTGGAGCAACAAAGAGGATATGAGGGGGAAAGACATTCCTAACTAGGAATCAAAGTTTTCCCAAGGGAAATGGTTTCATTGGGAGGCTTAAGCTCACCTTTTCTGTTCTTATCTGAGAAAAAGGTACTTCTGCTAAACCAGGGCAGTAGGGAGATTTGTGTACCCTTTTGTACTTTTGGTTCAAAATAAAACTCTGGTTAAAGTGCTTAGGAACACTGATGGTAGGTGCACTGGAAAAACATCAGTGGTTAATGTCTGCAGGACACTTTGGAGATGATATCGGCAAGTTTCCAAAGGAAGAGTGGGAACATTTCTGTTTCTCCATTGTGTCACACAGCTTTGCCAATAACTAAATAAGCAATGGATTTTGCAGGTTTTGAAAATGTTTCAAATTTTTCTTCTGATGTAGAGAAGAGGAGGGGAAAGAGAGGATTTTTTTAGTCTAATTTAATTTTCTTTGTCTGTAAGTTCAATACAAGATCCCAGCAAAAGTTTTGTAAAAAATGATAGCAGCAGTATGTTTCTCTTTATTGTAGACGTGATATAATATTGGCAGTGTCATGAGGTCCCCTTTTAGACACTAATTTAATGTAACTAATTAGTTTTTGAAAACATAATATGTGCACATAGTACAAATTTTAAGGGAACAGAGGACATATAATAAGAATCTCCCCCACATGCTTATCCCTGAGTCCTCCATGTCCCTTCCTCAGAGGCAGTCACTTTTTTTGTTTGTTTGTATATTCTTCCAAATTCTTTGCATACCCAAATCCCCCCAACATGTGTGTGTGTGTGATTATAGGATATATAATTAAATAACTCCCCCCCCCCACAAATAGAAGCATGCTGTATACTGTTTTATACCTTGCTTCTTCATAAAACAATATATTGGAAATTTTCTATATTAGTAGATACATGTCAATTTCCTCTTTCCCAAGAGTGACATTATATTCTGTTGCATGAATGTAGTATCATCTTTTTAATTTTTTAAAAAAATTTTAATATATCTTTATTAATTTTAGAGAGGAAGGGAGAGGGAAAGAGAGAGAAAAACATCAATGATGAGAGAATCATTGATTGGCTGCCTCTTGCACGATTGGGGATTGTACCTACAACCCCGGCATATGCCCTGACCAGGAATCAAACCATGACCTCCTGATTCATAGATAATGCTCAACAACTGAGCCACCACGGCCAGGCTTATCATTATTATTTTTTAAATCAGTCTTTCATTGATGGATATTTAGATTGTTTCCAATCTTCTATTATAAGCAACACCACAATGAATAGTCTTGGACATGCAATAATAGTTGTGTATATGTGAGACTACATGTAGAAATGGAATTGCAGGGTTGAGAGCTATGAATATTATAATTTTGATATTGATTATCAAATTATCTTCCATAGAGGTTCTATTTGTTTACATTTCTCTACCCAGCTTTCATTTTTAGATTCTGGGGATTGTCAGTGGAGTTTGTTCTGAGAAGGTCATAGACAGGAAAAGGCTATAAGATTGAACAAGGAAAGATTGCCATTTGTATTTTATATCAGCCTCATTTTATGAGATTTCTAAGTAGTTTATCAAATATTTTAGCAAAATAGACCATGTGTCAGGCAGTCCTCCCTGCTAGGAAGCCTGCCACATGGAGGAATGAGAAGATTGGATACAGAGTGAGAAGAATGTTTCCAATCTGACATCACTAGGACTCACTGTGGGATCCTGATTAAGCCAATTATCCTTTCTTTGACCTCAGTTTTCATTTCTTAAAAAAAAATATTTTTACTGACTTCAGACAGAGGAAGGGAGAGGTAGAGTGAGATAGAAACATTAATGATGAGAGAGAATTATCAATGGCTGCCTCTTACACGTCCCCTACTGGGGATTGAGCCTGAAACCCAGGCAGGTGCCCTGACTGGGAATGGAACTGTTCATGGGTCAATGCTCCACCACTGAGCCACACTGCCAGGTTCAGTTTTCTTATTTGTCAAATGAGTACTTGTCAAATGATCTCAGAAGAATCCTTGGATCCAAAATTGATTCTATGAAACTCCCTTCACTTTTTATCTTATATAATAAAAGCCCAGCAACCATAATGGCGTAATGACCAGAACGACCGCTCGACCAGTCACTATGAGGTGCATTGACCACCTCTTGATCTCTCCCCCTGGCCCGCAGGCTCCGATCACAGGGTGGGAACCACGGGGAACTGGGGTGGGTGGCAGTGGGGCAGGACTGGGGACTGGCGAGTGGGCAGAAGATGGCCCTGATTGCAGGCTAGGCCTAGGGACCCTACCTGCACACGATTTCATGTGCTGGGCCTCTAGTAATGTAATAAAAACTTCTGTACAGGAACAGCTACATAATTTCCAAGACCACACGCAAAATAAAAATATAGAGCCCCTTGTTCAAAAATGATCAAGAATGCCAAGATGGCCACAGTGGCGTATTAAGCGAAGTGTGGGCCCTTCTAAGTGCAGGGACCCTGTGCAACTACACAGGTCATAAGCCCATGAGGCTGGTCCTGTGCCTGTGAAGATTATTGCCTCCAATCAATGGTGTATTTCTACATAAGTATTTAGTGGCAGTTTGATATAGACGTGTGCTTGAGACACCACTGTCCTTTTCTAAGGAAAGCTGCCTTTGTCCACAGCGCCTTGATAAAGGAAGTTGCCTTAACCTGTACCTTGTTTTTTTTTTTATTTTTTATTATTTATTTATTTATTTATTTATTTATTTATTTTTATTGCTTAAAGCATTAAAAAGGGTATTACATATGTGTCCTTTTTTTCCCCGCCCTTGACAATCCCCTGGCCTCCCCTACCCCCCAGTGTCTTATGTCCGTCCATTGGTTATGTTTATATGCATGCATACAAGTCCTTCGGTTGATCTCTTACTCCCCTCCCTTCTGCCCCCCAACCCTCTCTGGCCTTCCCACTGCAGTTTGACAATCAGTTTGAGGCAGCTCTGCCTCTGTATCTATTATTGTTCAAAAGTTTGTAATGGTCTTTATTATCCATGAATGAGTGAGATCATGTGGTATTTTTCCTTCATTGACTGGCTTATTTCACTTAGCATAATGCTCTCCAGCTCCATCCATGCCGTTGCAAATTGTAAGAGTTCCTTCTTTTTTACAGCAGCATAGTATTCCATCGTGTAGATGTACCACAGTTTTCTAATCCATTCATCTACTGATGGGCACTTAGGCTGTTTCCAGATCTTAGCTATGGTGAATTGTGCTGCTATGAACATATGGGTGCATATATCCTTTCTGATTGGTGTTTTTGGTTTCTTGGGATATATTCCTAGAAGTGGGATCACAGGGTCAAATGGGAGTTCCATTTCCAGTTTTTTGAGGAAACTCCATACTGTTCTCCACAGTGGCTGCACCAGTCTGCATTCCCACCAGCAATGCACAAGTGTTCCTTTTTCTCCACATCCTCTCCAGCACTTGTCGTTTGTTGATTTGTTGATGATAGCCAGTCTGACATAACCTGTACCTTGTGCACTGGATGTCTGCTGATTAGACTCGAGGTACACACCTGACTGGAGGGCAGTCAGTTCATAGGCAGGTGAGTAGCTTGTAGGATGACCTGACAGGAAAAGCTCTGACCAGTGGAAGTTCAGTAATTAATTGGTAAACAGACTCTTTCTGGAATTTGAACTGAGAAATATGGAGAAGATCAGCCAGCCAGTTTGGGGCTTTAGGGTGTGGTACGAGTGGAAGTGGATAGGTAAAGAGAATCCACACATATTCCCTGTGTAACTCAACAGTGAATCCTCATGACTTGATGTAGCTAAGTAAAATTATTTCTGTTCTTTGCAACCCCAAGAACATAATTAACCCAAGGTTATGCTAGACTAGAGCATAGCTTTAGCCTATTAATGCTTAAGCCATCTAGGGAACGTGGCTTAAATACAATGAGAAGTATGAAAATAGAAAAATAGTTTCGAAACCTCGTTTCCTCCTTCAACTGCCAGCTACTGCAGTGGGATCGGCTGGAGAGGAGCCCGTGCTGGCCAGGTGAGTGGTGATCTGAGCTCACTGAGTGCTGCCCTTCTGTCTTTCTTGCTTCTTGGCCAACTTTCTTGTATATCCCTGGGACTGCTTTTTTTTAAAACTTCTCCTCCTAACTTATTTTTGACATCTTGTTCTACTTCCAGTGGAGTAGCCCTAGGAAAAATGTAGCTGTCAATTGTGCAAAAAGACACGTATTTTCTTGGTATATGTCTTCTTCCTTTCTCTGCTAATGGGTCCCCGGAGTCTGCAGTAGGCTGAGGCAGGAGCTGCACTAAATGACCTCTCCAACCTTTGGCAGGTTAGCCATGCTAAGAAAAGGATTCCAATATAGTCATTTCCCAACCCCTAATTATAGAATGTCTATATAATTGTTTGATGCTTTTCCTGTTCCTTCACGGTTCAATAGAGGCGAGTTTGTTGGTCTTCAAATGCATACCCAACTAATTTGGTCAGGAATGTCACATAACTTAGCATTGACGGTAATTTGCTTTCTAGGATGCATTAAAATCTGTAGCGTGTGGGCACATTACTTATAATAGCACATACTGCATGTCTATGAGACATGCATAGAGCGGCACTTTGCAAATGGACCCTGATGCATAGGAATCACTCTGTAGCCTGCACACCCTGGATAAACATGACATAGACTCAGAGGGCTCATGTTCCTCATAGATGCCTCTCGACAGTGCAGGGTTTAGCTGTGTTAAGGGGTAGACTAGGAAAACCAATCATCCAATTGGCATTATTGTGGAGAAAGGGACATTTATGTTAATGCACTGCCTCCAAGGTTTTGCCCTGCAAAGGCTT